TCCCCGAGACACCTCTGCAAGGGGATCTCCAGTGGCCTACTAATGGGCTTTGGGTCTCCACTCCGCACTCCCCCCATCATTCACTATGGTAATATTTTTTGTTCTGATGATGCCTTATACCTGATCCCTTCAACACCTTGTGATTGCACAGGCTGGTGTGCTTCTTCCATTTGTTGCTTCTGAGCTAGATAGCCACTTGTTTACCTTCAAGCCTTTAAGACCCCTGACGCTATACCTTTTGATAGCCAGGCACCATCAGCTTTCTTGGCCACATTTGCTTATTTGTCTTCAGCGATCATATCATGGAGGTGAGCACACATTTTAAATCCTTTTATTGACGACTCTTCCAACTCATTACAATCCATACATCAATTGTATCAGGCCTATTTGTACATATGTTGCCATCATTTTTTTCTAGGCAATTACTTTCTAGTGAGCTCTTGGTATCAGCTCCTCTGTTTTCCCCCTTCCTACCAACCCTCCCTATGACCTCTTAATAGATTATAAATTATTATTTTCATATCTCACTGATCGCTGTCTCCCTTCCTCCATGGTTTCTGTTGTTCTTCCCCCTGGAGGTGAGTGTGTGGTTGTGTGTCAGCTCCCTCTACTCCACCCCCACCCCTGCTTCTCCATACTCTTCTGGTATTTCTATTCCCAAGAGAAAATATACTTAACTTTGGTTTTTCATCCCTTTAAGATAAGCATATCAAACTTTAGCATCTCGTGACACTTTTTTCCCCCTAAGTTACAATGAAACCAACTATTTTAAAGTTTAAAAGCGTCAGAAGAGAAGTATGATTTTCTCTTTTAGGGAACCTAGTTATTAAAGTCTTAATCCTAAAAATATTTGGCCACCTGTATTAATACTGTCCTACAGAGATCATCACACAGATAAATTTAACAAAGAACATTCCTATGTCAGAAAGTTCCACAGCTGCATCCATTACCGCACTATTTTGCATATTAACAGCACACATTGGGATGAACAGATGGCCAAGCTGCCTGACCTGTGAACCATGTGTACACATAGAAAGGTAGCTCATATTGCATAGTATTTCACTGCCCGGGAGGGGAGAAGGGTATTGAGCCAAGCAAAGGTGGGGTTGGACTGGAACTATCGATGATGAGACACTGCCCATTAAGTCCTAGGTTGCCATTAGGGGGCTGAAACCAGGACAGTGGTAGCCGGTGTCCTGGAAGTGGGTTGCCCTCAGGGCTCAGGAAGAAGCTGGACTGCAGAGTTTGGTCCCAGCTCGCAATTCCAAGGGGCGGGTAGGGATGGACCACGCTGTAGTCTGGGTGAACCACTCAGGAGTCTAGGACCTGAGGGACCCCACATCCAATGACTGGCACCCAAGGCAACATAGGGAGGGGAAGGTGGAAGTTGTAGGTGACCTCAACATGAGCCACACAAGATGTTCACAGTACAGGTGAGGGAGTGAGATGATGTGGTCTTTAGAATCTAACCATGTCAATAAGTAAAGAGTGGGTATATTTATTTCTCAGTAATACAGATAAGTAGTCTTCAAATATATGAACCAGATGAATAGTTTCTTCAAATTAACTCTTACAATAATTAAAAACTATTGTTCTGAGTAAAATTGGATTCGTGCGGTAAAAAGTCACATCTTCCAGGTATTCTTTGAATATCGGTTTAGAAATTTTATTATTTAGAGCAGTGGTTCTCAACCTTCCTAATGCCGCGACCCTTTCATACAGTTCCTCATGTGGTGACCCCCAAACCATAAAATTATTTTCATTCCTACTTCATCACTGTCATTTTGCTACTGTCATGAATTGTCATGTAAATATATGATATGCAGGATGTATTTTCATTGTTACAAATTGAACATAATTAAACATAATTAAAGCATGGTGATTAATCACAAAACAATATGTAATTATATATTGTGAAATATTTATGTGTTTTCCAATGGTCTTAGGTGACCCCTGTGAAAGGTTCATTCAACCCCCAAAGGAGTCACGACCTACAGGTTGAGAGGCACTGATTTAGAGGATTCTCATAGACTTGTTGAAATGTGGGTGTTATCTAGCTGAATAGTAAATGTTTTTCTTCTTAAGAAAAAACCAAGGTCTTTTCTGGCTTTTTAAACTTGAAGGTCCCCAGATATCTGCTCTAAATTTAGAATTTTGATTATCATTGGGGATGCACAGTGGTGCCTGAAAGAGTACTGGATTGGGAAACAATAAGCCTGGATTCTGATCTTAGAACAAGTGATTTTAACATGTCTGGACTTCAGTAGTCTCATCTTTAAAGTGAAGCAGTTAAAGGAGAATTGAAAATGATTTCAGAGAGAATCTATTATTAATTTGCTAATCAGTTACTAAGTTCAATTAACCTACAGGACAGTCCTGCCAGGCAATACAGCCTTACCTCTGATAGTTTTGTTCCTTTGATGGTGGGAGTTGCAGAATTTGGTTTCACCTTTCTTCCTAACTATCAAGGACACAACTAATAGGTTCTTTACTCTTTAGGTTCAACATGCACTGAAAAAATCTGAAAAGGCTTTGGATACCCTGAACAAAGCCATTATTATTGACCCTAAGAACCCTCTATGCAAATTTCACAGAGCCTCCGTTTTATTTGCAAATGAAAAATATAAGGTAAGATATGGATCTTAATGGTCTTCTGAGTTGTATTGCTTAATTGTATACTCTTTGTTCTAATAAGAGCAGCCCTAGTGGCACATAGGTTATGCATCAGCCTGCTAACCACAAGGTCGGCTGTTTGAAACCACCCGCCAGCCCCTGTACCCGAGAAAGATGAAGCTTTCTACCCCCATCAGCATTCACAGCATCGGCAATCCACAGGGGCAGTTCTACTCTGTCCTGCAGAGTCACTATGAGTCAGAATTGACTCGATACCAATTAATTTGATTTTGTTTTAATAAACTAAAAGATTTTATTTTTTAATCACTTTATTAGGGGCTCAAAAGATTTTATTTTTTAATGTGGCAGTTCATTTTCCCCATTTTCAAAAGCTGTTAATTTCATTTTCTTTTGTGATTTTACCTCTTTGTAAAATAGCCATGTATGGATGTATGGGTGTTAAGAATGTATGGTCATTCTCTATAAATACTCAGTAGATGGAAAGACAATTTCTCCATTAAAGAGTTATCTTAAAGGTAAGACCTAAACCATCACATTGGACCAAGCATAAGTAAATAAACAAGTGACAAAGGAATGTGTGTATGCATTTGCTCAACAAATATTCATTGAGCACCTACTATGTGGCAGCACTAGGTATAACAGTAGGAAGCAAAGCACTGCATTTCTTGTCTTTGGGGAGCTTACTATCTAGTATCCCCAGAGCAGTGTTTCCCAAAAATAATGAGGAGGGGGCAGAGAGGAGGAGCTACTGCAAATGCAAATTACCTACACTTTATCCTGGATTATGGGGCTTTATAGTACAGCGGTTTCTAATTGCCAGGAAGGCAATGAGTAGTTTTTTTCTGAAAAGGGACTTTGAACCAAATAAGTTTGGGGACCTGTGTTCTAGAGGAAGACAAAGTTTGACCAAATAATTACAAAAATAATACATGAAAGAAAAATATTAAGTGAGCTATGGCTTATCTTAAGGAGAATAGATCTAGTCTAATAGATTTATCTTTTTTCCGCACTCTTGTTCAAATTAGAGACCCGTGACGTGAGCAAAGTATGAGGACAATGGAGAAAGAGGCAGGGACATAAAGTAGCAGGGGTTGCTGCTTATTTACTCATAAAACCAGGAATCTGAAATCGGGTTCTAAAGCACAGGTCACTTCTTAGAAATTTTAATTTATTCCACTACAAAATTTTAATGCGAACAATCTATTTTAGTAGTCTTTCTCCTAGTAATTGGTGCTTCTGAGCCACACTGAAGCTTGCTAAATTGAAAATGCAAAACCAGTTATAAGCTCTTTATTACTGTCCAAGACCAAAAAAGAGAGATACCCAGTCCCCCTTCCCACCCCCAAAGACCCACTGCCATTGAATTGATTCTCACTCACAGCAAGCCTATGCAGGGTTTCCATAGCTAATCTCGATGAAAGTCTTTCAAGGCAAAAAAAGGAAGAATCCGGATTCTGTGTTAGGCACTGTCTTCTAGTGGACTGTAAGCAAACCATTGGTGGAATGATAGTTGCCTGAAATTTGGTAACAATTATAAAATGCCATCATAGAAAGGAAGTACTTATCAATTCTGAGTTGTTGGGGGTGACTCATCCTGGTTATAATTTCTGTAAAGCAGCAGTTCTCAGCGTGTGAGGCAGGGACTCTGCGAGTTCCCCAAGAGGTCAATAAAATCAAAACTGTTTCCAAAATCATACCTAGATCTTATTTGCCCATTTCACTCTCATCAATGTACAATGGAATTTTGACCAAGGCTACTTGACATTTGATGTAACAAGAGAATGAATGCAGAAGCAAACAGGAAAACCCAGCCACCTCCTATTAAGCCAAACTTTTATTAAAATTTATTTAAATAGTTAAAAGTTTATTAAAGAGATTTGCAAAAATGTTAACTAGTGCCATTCTCACTGATTTGTTGTTGTTCCGGGATATATGGTTATCTTTCATTAAAATATGTTAGCATGTATTTATTATAGGTTGATTACTGTTACTTCTAGGTTAATGAATAAATTTTTTTCCACGTTAACGGTCTCAATTTCAGATGTTAATTATTACTACCTGTAATCCACAGTAACAAAAACTCTTTGAACCCTCACTAAAATTTAAGAGTGTAAAAAGGTCTTGAGTCAACATCATTTCGATGGCACTGAGATTGGTTTTGGGACTACAGTGAGCCCTCGTTTATCGCGGTTAATCAGTTCTAGACCCTACCGTGATACATGAAATTCCGCGAATTAGGATTCCTTATTTGTAAATCAAATATTTTCATAGTTAGAGCATAGAGGACATGAAAAAACACCCTTTAGTCACCATTACACTCGTTTTACCCAATTTATTAAACGAAAAAGGGAAAATACAGTAAAACATTTTGGACGTTACAATTATCATTTATTATTTAGTATATTATTTATGGCATCAAGCGTGTCCAGTATGAGCCAATCAGTGGCAGTAATGACAGAGCATGCGCTGTTACGCAAAAACCGCGATAGAGTGAAGCCGCGGAAGTCGAAGCGCGAAGTGGCGAGGGTTCACTGTATTCCGATCTACCTCAGACCTCTTGATTGTGATGCTGCGATGGCTGCCTCAGTCATTAGGAGTGATGTTGGACAAGTCTAACACAGTGGTCTTAATGTTCTACATACAGATCTTTAATTTTGTGCTTTCCATTCTGTGTAGTCAATAATTTCTAACAGTGTGCAGGGGAAAACAAGGAGCCATCCACCTCATAGAATTGTCGTATCTGATAAACCTTCCATTCTCTGACATGCTGGTCTGAAACTCAGGTACAGCCAGCCTATCTATTCCTTTGAGTTAATGTCTCTTGGGTTGCCAACAATTAGGAAAGACGTGGAATGTTAAAGATGTACTATATTGGCTTCCTACAAACTTCCATTCTTTTCTGAAACATCTATATAGCCTCTTAGACAGCCTTATGAAAATGTATATTTTGCATTCAGTCTTTTGGGCCCACTTCTTAGCACAGAAATTTACCAGTAGAATAAGAGTCTGAGGAGTTGGCATGTAACAACTCCCGGCTGCTTTTCATGCTGTTGTCGTGTGCCACTCACTTGACTCATAGCAACTCTGTGGGACAGAGGACTGCCCCAGGGGCCTTCCGCGAAGTCCTGAGGGAAACAGACCGGTCACAGGTCTTTCCTTCCTCCTGTGGAGCCCTCAGTGGTTCCACCTGCTTACCTTTTGTTTAATGGCTGAGCACTGTAGTCCTTGCTCCACCATGACTCTTCATTTTCCACACGACTTCCCACCAAAAAAAAAAGTAAACTACTTATTTTAAAGTTTGCCTAGCATACCAACAAATTTTAGAAAAGCCAAGATATTACAATTAGCCTTTAGTTAAGGAGGAAAGGGTATTCAACTATTTTGGAACTAATAAAGAATAGGTTCCTCATGCTTTATAACCTTTTATGGGAAATAAAACTCTAGTCATAGTAAGGATACCAATAAAGAAATTTCCGTATGCCATCTAACTTCTATGCCACCTGTATTAGCCCCTCATCCCTAAGCCCTGGTTTACTCTTTTTTGAAATGTCTTTTTATGAAAGTAATTGTGTCTCATAAACTTGAACACCCTGGTGCATAGATGAACGCTATTAACTGCTTAGTACATACTTCTCTGGTTCCTTTTCCGGTTTATGTATTTTATAATCATTTGTAACCAACCAAGCTTATTCTGGAGACAGATAATGCCCCTCTCCCCCAAAAGATGCCCATATTCTTGTCTGTAGTACCTGTAAATATATCTTACGTGGCAGTGGCAGAAGGGTTTTTTCGGATGTAATTGCGGATCTGAACCAAGAAACTGGAAAAAGACAGGAAAACAGATTCTCTCCACAAGGAAAGGCCACCATGCTGCTGTTGGGTCAGGCACCGGGTGGGGGCATTAGGAACAGCCTGCTCTGCCTTTATTGGACCAAGAAGGCTAGCTTCAGGCAGAATGATCCAGACACCACCCTACCTCGGAATTTCTTCACGGATGGAGGTGGCTGAAGCCCCTGCAACTGCAGCTCCTGGCCCCTCCCTTCTTGATTACCCTCCTGACCAGTTTAAAAACTTGCTCTTCACCACAGATAGGCATGACTTTGCGGGGCCCCCAACGGGGGACCCGTGAATCTCGCCTTGGGAGCACAGAATAAACTTCTCCTCACATGCCTGGCTTCAGTTTATCTTTGCAGCAAGCCTAGTAGTTGCCACCTGGATTTTTAACCCAGGGAGACGTGTGTTGAACTTCTAACCCACAGAACTGTAAGGTGATTAAAACTAATATAAATATACATATTGTTCTACACCATGTTTTTTTCCACTTATAATAAATAATAGATGCTGGTTTTTAATACCTTTTTTAAACACCTAACCACCAGTGAATTTTGTTTACTATAAAGGTATAGAGGAGAAAATAAAAAGTAGATAACCTGTGTATACATTATAGAGAAAGTATAATCATAATGTTAGCAAATTCAAAAAGAGAGCGCTACTAAATGAAAAGTAGAATTCTACCCCCTAATCATCTCGTCTCCAAAGGTAAACCACTCTTACCTAGTGTGAGGATCCCACATGTATTTTTCTTTCTGCCAGGAAACAATTGTTAAGCATATACCCACATAATTGCATTTGTGTATTGTGTTTAGACACAAAACTGAATAGTACACAATACTGTACATCTTTTGTTTGTATTTTGTATTTTTTTGCTTACATTGAGTACACATAGATCTACCTCATTTTTATTAAAAACTATGGCCCCAATTTATTTCACTAGGCTGTACCTACATGCTTTGGGTGACTTTAGTGTTTTGCAGTAACTAAAGTGAGATTGATATACTAATTCTTAAAAGATTACCGGGTAAGCTTTTTTGAGTTAATCCCTGTGGCAAATTTCCTAGCAATCGGATTGCTTGATGAACCTGTGCTATTGAACTTGATAGAAAATGCTGAATTGTCACTTTTCTCCATTGCTATTTTGCCTGAATTTTGTATGCTAACATGAATCAGACTCTTCGTTGTGTTTTCAAGGATAGCCTTATTGATTGACAGCATTTGCAGAATAAATCAAGGAACATAATTTGAAAAAAAAAGAAAATGCTAAATTGTCTTCACAAAGGGTTGCTTCCCCTTAGACTTCCGTCCATCATAAGGATACCTGTGTCCCCTCACAGGCTAGCCTTACGTGCCATCAGATTTTTATTTTCATTTTTTGTCCATTTGCTAGATGAAAAAAATGGGGCAGCATCTCACTGGTGAGGCCAGTTGCATTTTTAATGATGATCTCTCTCCTATAAATCTGATTTTTCCCAGCTTTTTCTCTTCATCACCCTATCCTTTAGCATTGAAAGGTCAAAAGCTGGTCAGCCAGCTTACACTCCACTCAGAAGGCTACATTTTAGCCTCTTTGCCCGTGGCTGGAACGGAAGGTTGGTTTTCAAAGCTCAGTAGTTGCATCTTCTCCTTGAAGCAACTTCCGACTTGTTTTGTTCTGCATTTCATGACACTTCCCACATAAAATGACCTCTGTGCACACACTGCCATAGTCGATGCTGACTCATAGTGACCCTACAGGCCAGGGGAGAACTGCCCCGGGGGTTTATGGGAGTAGAAAGCCCGCCCTCCTTCCGAGGAGCGAGGAGCGAGCTAGTGGTTTCTACCTTGCAAACCGCAGCCCAGCACTTACCCATTACACCACCAGGACTCCTACACAATGTGATCGGTTCTTGTGATTTCAAGTAGTGACAGCAGCAAGGGTTGCCGTCACCTGCAGAGTCCAGATTGTGTGTGTTTCTGGTGAATCCTGGCATGTCATAGTCTCTGAGGGCAAGTAGTGACGTGTTGGACTGCTAACTGTCACTCCAGCAATTTGTGAACTACCAGCTGCCCAGCGAGAGATGGAGCTCCTACTCCCATGACTAGTCTCAAACTCAGAGGGCCACTCTGACTCAGAGTAGACTCAATGGCACTGAGTCTGGTTTATTTTTTGGTGGTCACAGTATTTTTCATTAATTGTTTTCATTACATTATGATAATGAAGTACACTAAGGTTTAATAAGCTTTTATAAAATGATTTGAAAAATCTAATAAAAATACTTGCCTAGTCGAAACTTTGTAAAATTTTGCTATTCTAAGGGGTTTTTTTTCCTTTTTTTTTTCCCCCCAGTCTGCTTTACAAGAACTTGAAGAATTGAAACAAATTGTTCCCAAAGAATCCCTCGTTTACTTCTTAATAGGAAAGGTAAAGATTGGGGCACTGGTCCTAAACTGTGACTTTGATAGCAAATAATCACTTTTGAAGAATAAATATATTTATTATACAACATGTTTCAAGTAGATTCAACCAAAACTCTGAACTGTGTTAGGAATGAAGTATTTCATTTTAATATTTAAGAAGATATCCTAATGAAGGAGCAAAACTACCTCCTCCCTCAACCCTAACCCTACTGTGGTATTCGTAGTATATCCATAGTTAGATAACAGATTGACTGCCCAAGGCCAATAAAGATTTCATAACTGAGACCACCTTATGGAGAGTCACAAGTTGCCAATTCACAATAAGATATTTAGAAATCCTTAGAAGGAGTACATTAATATCACTGTTGCCTTCATTATAAGAAATGACTACTGTTGCCATGGCCGGACTAGGGCATGTCACCGACTGGGCCTCCAGATGCCACTGGTAAAGTTGTAGCTGCATGTGTTCAGAGTTGATATAACTGCATTTAAATGAGCATGTGCATGCTCATGAAGCAGCCCGTGAGGAACTCTTCCCCATGGTGGTCCCAGTGTGATGGGAAGCTTAGCACACGAGAGAAACCATTCCTTTCGAGTTGATTCCAGTTCACGGCTGCCCCTTGCTTGCAGAGTAGAACTGTGCCCCTTTGGGCTTGCAAGACTGGCTTTTTGGAAGCGAATTGCTGGTCTTTCTTCTGAGACATCTTTGGGTAGATTTAACCACCAACTTAGTGGTTACTAATTAAGCACTGAACCATCACCCAGGGATTCTAAGAACTGTGCTCTGTAGGGTTTTCAATGCCTGTGAACTTTCAGAGGTAGAGCCCCAGGCCATTTTTCTCATTCCAATGACCAAACTCTCCCTTAATCATAACTAAACAGCCCCTCCTCCCGCCCAGCCCCACAAGGAAAACTAGAAAGGGCTTAGAGTACATAAATCAGGAGCCAGACTTAAATGGTACATGTTTAGGACTTGATAGTTGAAGCTCACAACTTAATGAAAAATGTAGTGCTGCTGTTTATTTTTAGGTTTACAAGAAGTTAGGTCAAACGCACCTCGCCCTGATGAATTTCTCTTGGGCTATGGATTTAGATCCTAAAGGAGCCAATAACCAGATTAAAGAGGCAATTGATAAGCGCTACCTTCCAGATGATGAGGAGCCAATAACTCAAGAAGAACAGATCAGTGAGTATCATCCCTGTGTATTAGACTTGGTTTAGAAGGTTACTCAAATCAGGGATCTAGTAGAATACATCAGAATTAGGTTTAAAAAATTTTTTTATATATATATATATATATATATCTATATATATATATATATATATGGCAAGTTAAACAAAAGTATGAGTAGTCAGAATAATTTTCTGGATATTCTTTTGCATGAAAATTTATAGACTGTTCTTATTTTATCTATATCTTAATTTTTTTCTTTTCATCTGTTTTTTTTAAATCATTTTATTGGGGGCTCATACAACTCTTATCAAAATTCATACATCCATCCATTGTGTCAAGCACATCTGTACATTTGTTGCCATCATCATTCTCAAAACATTTTCTTTCCACTTGAGCCCTTGGTATCAGCGCCTCATTTCCCCCCTCCCCCACAGGCTCCCCTCCCTCACGAACCCTTGATAATTTATAAATTATTATTATTTTGTATATCTTATATTCTTGATACCAAATAGGGTGTTAGGAAAATTGAATCAGGGTGAACGATAATTGGTCTCATTTCAGGAACTAGTTTGCTGTTTGAATTTTGACAAATCTATTGCTGATTTTTACCTGCAGATCAAATTACAAATAAATGTAAAAAAGATGAGAAATATTGACATATGCTAAAGACACAAGTGTACTTGCTGACTATTCAAATTATTGGAAACTAGTAAATCCAAATATATGGCTAACATAATTGTAAAAAAGTTTAGGAGCCAGCCATCTCGCTCAGAAGCAACAAAGCCCACATGGAAGAAGCACACCAGCCTGTGTGATCACGAGGTGCCAAAGGGATCAGTTATCAGGCATCAAAGAACAAAAAATCATATCATTGTGTGCTCATCTCCGTGATATGATCGCTGAAGACAAATGGGTGCATAAGCAAATGTGGCGAAGAAAGCTGATGGTGCCCACCTATCAAAAGATATAGCGTCTGGGGTTGTAAAGGCTTGAAGGTAAACAAGCGGCCATCTAGCTGAGAAGCAACAAAGCCCACATGGAAGAAGCTGGTGATCATGAGGTGTCAAAGGGATCAGTTATCAGGCATCATCAAAACAAAAAAATCTTATCATAGTGAATGAGGGAGGAAGTGCGGAGTGGAGACCCAAAGTCCATTTGTAGGCCCTGGACATCCCCTTACAGAAGGGTCTCGGGGAAGAGACGAACCAGTCAGTGCAATGTAGCAATGATGAAACATACAACTTTCCTCTAGTTCCTAAATGCTTCTACACACACACACACACACACACACACACACACTCATGATCCGAATTCTAGACCAGAGGATGTACACTGGTACAGATGGGAACTGGAAACACGGAATCCAGGGTGGATGATCCCTTCACGACCAGTGGTGTGAATGGCAATACTGGGGAGGGTAGAAGAGGGTGGGTTGGAAAGGGAGAACCGATTACAAGGATCTACATGTGACCTCCTCCCTGGGGGATGGACAACAGAAAAGTGGGTGAAGGGAGATGTCGGACAGGGCAAGATAAGACAAAATAATCATTTGCAAATTATCAAGGGTTCATGAGGGAGGGAGGGGGGAATGAGGAGCTGATGCCAGGGGCTTAAGTGGAGAGCAAATGTTTTGAGAATGATGAAGACAATGAATGTACAAATGTGCTTTACCCAATTGATGTATGTATGGATTGTGATAAGAGTTGTATGAGCCCCTAATAAAATGATTTTTAAAAAAGTTCAGGAGCCAAGAAAAGAAGCAGGGTGCATGTCTTAAAATGGTTAGTGAGGATTAAGATTAAGAGTTTCATTAAGAATTGAGAAACTTTTAATGAGATAGACTGCCATTATTCTAAAAAACTTAGTGTAAGGCTTCTAATTAAAATTATAATTCCTATAATCTTAATAACCCCACCCCACCTCTTTTTTTCTTTATTTTTGTTTATTATAGCAAGTACTATCATCAAGCTGATGATTTAGGGTTAAAAGAGATGTCAGTCTTTTTTCTTAATTTCTTATAGAACTAGCCTTAATCATGTAGAAATGTCCTTTCAATTAAATATGTAAACTTGATTCCCAAACACCTTTGACAAGAATATTAAGAGACACGGTTGTGGTAGTCAAAACCCTTAACAGTAAATGAATCTCAGACATACTGTAAAACAAAAGCCTTGAGTTTCATTTTAAATTAAGATTCGAGCCTTTGTAAGGGCTTTTATTTCCACGATCATCTCTGTGAATACAGTGCAGCTTTCCTGACTTGTCTCCGTGAGTGAAAAGGACAGACGTGCCGACACCTTACCTGAGCTTTTGTTTTGTCTCCCAAGTGGGAACCGATGAGTCCCAGGAGAGCAGCATGACCGATGCGGATGACACACAACTTCACGCAGCTGAAAGTGATGAATTTTAACTTCTGGAAACCAGACTTTTGCAAGTGGATGTGACTAGTGCTGCCACGTTTCTTGTCCCTCCATACACCGGGTCTTCACTCTCAAGCTGGCGGCGTCACCATCTATCACTTACACCAGGAGTGTACCACTGTCATCGGACCCTGACTGCTCCCAGAATGACAGGCAGTGCAACGTTTGCTGCTGACGAGACCGGCCCTTTCACCAGTGTGAATGACAATTTAGGGGATGGGTGGGAGACTTTCTTTCCTTATTTCCTTTAAGCTCCCATTTGTTGGCAAGCTATCGTGGAAGGAAGCGTTGTGTTTTATCTTGAAAGAACCATTAGATAGGGAAAATAGTGATGATCCTGCATTTCTTGGCCTTTTTTTTCCCCCCCGAAAAGAAAAACTGTTTTTACTTGGTTCTGTTCTTGATAAACAGAGTGACTGAACTTCATTTCAAGGTTCTTGGAGAATGGTGTTAGCAAGTGCCAGATGGAACAATAAAAGACATTGCCTATAACAGAGTAACTTGATTGCCAAGGAATATAAACTACCTTAAATTTGCAGTGTCTCCTATAAAAATGAGTGTCATGGGCACAGTGGGGCACATGTGTAAGGAATCTGATATCCTTCCATACACAGTGTACACCTGTTCTTGGCAAGAATGCTTTAATGTCGAACCAAGAATTTAATTTATTCATCTTGCTTCAAAGTGTTGATCATTGTCTTGGTATTGAAAACTTTAAAGTTGGTCCTTACCATATTGTCTCTTCTCTTTGAGCTCTATCAGATGACCTTTGACATTCAGAGCTGATAGAGCGGTTGCCCACTGAAGAGCCAAAATGGGGCCTTTGATAAAGCATTTAGGTTCACATAAGAATCAGTGTGAGAACGCTGACGTGGGGAGAGACTGAGAGATCATGACAGCGAAAGCCTTAATACAATCATAATTGCACCCTAACTTGAATCTGTGTTTGTTCAAGACAGTATCCCTTTGACTTTCCTAAGTGTTTGCAGGGTGCAGGAATGTGCATTTACCTTTCGTTAAGGTTGTATCCATTCTCTGCAGCGCTCTGCTGTTGATTCTTGTCAGTAGTGTGGGCCACCAAAACGTTGACTAAGAGTGATGGGGTTTAGCATATTGGAAATATGTAGTAGTTGGGGGGAGGGGGGAGGGACAAAAACACCATTCTTATGAAGGAGACATGCATTCTCTCCTGAGCTTAAGTCATAATACAGATTGGTGTCTTTGAGAAATGGCCACAGTTTTAAAGATCTAATTATGCATAATAAATTGAGTATTGGAATTTCACGGTAACATTTCAACAGTCTTAAATTGTGTATCTCCTTTATTTTAATTGTTGAAAATTTTAGAGAAACTAGTTAACATTTTATTAAGTGCCAATTTCAGAAAATAACAAATTATAGTTTCTTAAATGAATAACAGACCTACAGTTATTTGATGAAGGACAAACGTATCTACTGGTTAACCTGTATTTGTTAATCAAACTGTGAAAATAAGGTGGATTACAAGATATTCGGGGAAAAAAATAGCCTGTAGACTCAGTAAATTTCTATTATTTGCTGTTAATCTCATTTTTGAACATGGATTAGAAACCACTATAAATGAAATCCTAGAGTAGGTGTTGGGTGCCAGAGAGGTGTTTAACAAATGTTCCTTCCTAAATCTATATATATATGTGTGTGTGTGCTATCTTAAAAAAAAAATCACTTAGAAAAAAACATATCATTAAAATTTCCATAGGCTAATGCTTGGATTCTAACACATACCCCATTTTATTATCCATTCGTTCTAGAATATTTAATTTTAGATTCTTTTATTTTTTTAATTGGCAATATCAAATCTTGCATTTCCTAGAAAGCCTCCACCCGAGCTCAGCGTTAGAAAGCCTGGCGAGAGCTGCGCTCAAAACATCCTTTGCTGAAGCGCCTACCACTAGTGAGCTTTCCCTACTAGGAATGTATGGCCTGTGCCAGGGGTGAGGATGTTCTGGGACTAATTTTGAGACCAAGGGAAAATGGCGTAGTTGTAGAGGGCATGGGTGGCTAAGGGACACTTTCCGCCCAATTTTGGCCTGATTTCTTGTCCCTCACACTTAAGCTTTCAAAGTCAATATGTGTAGGGAGCCTTGTTTCTCACCTAGTAACTGTGTTTGGCTACTTTGTTTTGTTTTGCATGAAATGGGGATCAAATACAACCAGAAGAGGAAAACAAGTCTTGGTCAATCAAGCAAAATGTTTACTTCAAATATCAAACATTATTTTGAAGGAAATTAAAAATACTAAGTACTTTGATATCCTTTTTTTCTGTGGAAGCTTTTGACCTACACACCTCCATATCCATGTGCACACATACACTTGTGCAGGAGCTAAGCTACAGAGTTGGATTTATTTTCTTTTTCCCCCTTAGAAATGGTTCTTAACTCTGGGATTTTAGAAGGTTGGAAATATTTTTTCATGAGAACTATGGTACTCAAAATAATGAAAGGCGGTCCCTAAATTTTCTGTATTTCTTTACTACTTTTATTTTTTCGAAGAACTGCAAGTAACATTTGAAACATGCTGCTGTTGTACCTTAAAACAAAATCTCAGTGATAACCAATATTTAGTCTATTAAAAATGCTCTTTTTGAAGAAAAAAAGTTTGAAAGTCTCTGATTAGCCAGAGTGTAGTCTGGGTCTTCACTGAGAGATATGGTGAATTGTTTTTCTTTGTGAAAATCTAGGAAGATGCCAGTGTGGGTGTGATGTGTGTGTTCTATTTGCATTGAAACAATGTAATGTTATGTCTCCTTTTGCTTCTCCTGACTTATTTCAGAAAGTGTACAGTCTTTTTTTTTGGGGGGGGGGCTCTTTTCTGTTAATATATTTGCAATTCATTAAAGGATATGGAAAGATTAAAATAAATTACTTTTGAAAACAACCTATAATCAAGTTGTTAAAACTATTTCGGATCTGTGCCATCCGTATTTTTGTAGTAAGGCACAGCAAAGCAAAGACAGAGATGGCGGTTTATGTTCCACTGGAGTCTAGGGCAACGTTTAATTTTTTAACTCGTGCCCTCTTCTAATATATATATTTTTCAAAATTCACCCTCTCATTTAGTTTTTTTTTCTCTTTTTTTCTCATTTTTCCCCTCCCTCTCCTCTCTTTTAGTTTTATTTGGAATTTCAAAATAAATCTTGTGACTAAAAGTGATGGCAATTTCTAGAATATATTTTCAAATTACAAAATGTCCTTGCCAGCTTTCTTTGATCACATCATTACTGAAATGTCTTTAAAAGGGGTATAGCCTTTTGTTCCAGTGAGAATCCATTTTAAGTTACGATCTGAAAGAGGTAGAATATAGAAACGACGTTTAATCCTAGCTTGAAAACTCCCCCGTTAGTTTCCTTGGGGAACGTGTGCTGAGCTGCAAGAGTTGGGTTTGCGCCTGGAGAAAGGGGTGGCAACAGGGAAGACACACAGCAAGTGAATGGACTTGCTCCGGCAATCGGTCCGCCGGGGAGTCGGGGTGAGCCAGCGAGCACGGCCGGTTACTCTCAGGGGCAGCCCCCCTGCCTGGCGCTCCAC